GCATATAAGTTTAGAAAACGTGGTTGAGCTAGGGTGTCGGAGGTGCCCCGGGGCATGCTCTCTAGTTTAGGCTTTTGCACCCTGGTGGTATGTGTGAGAACCGTGGAGTGAGTGGGTGGGTATGTATGTTTTTTCTTAAAATGGGTAAAAATATAGATAATAGGTAGGCAGGTAGCATACTTCTCTGAATGAATGTGAAAACTTTAATTTTAAGTAGGTAGGATCCAGGAAAGGCATTAGACTTCTTCCTTTCACTCCGGAGTGGAAATTCCGCCTCCTGGTTTATACAGAATTGTTACAAAATTTTATCATCTCATTCTATATTATGTTTGATTTGTTAATTTATTTTGTAACTATTCTGTGATCTTTATTATGTATCATGATTCAAAGATATTTGCAACCATTTAAAAGATTCATTTCTTCTTCGATTTTATCTSAAACGAGATAGAGTCGAATCAAATTCGCAAATTCTTTGATGCATTTGATACTTAGTTTTAAGTATTTCAGGATWAGCACTACGCACTATMGCGATTTCGCCTTACAGCTATAGAAATATTTGATATAAYTATATATAACGAATKAATTAAATRAAGKTATTTTAAGAAAATGCATTACATTTATTGCACTATTTATTTCAATTTGATTTTATTACTCGACGCTAAAAAGTGCGAAGTGTTATTAGGTCATCGAGGGAAATTGTTATCTGCTTGGACATTCGATTAAATGTTCTCGTGTATGGTCAATGAACTCTAAGTTCATTGATGGTCCACGAGTAAGAAAAGTGAACACGAAATGTAAATTATTTGTTAATTAATTGAGAATTAGAATCATAACAAAATATGAGTTTATTTGCAAAATTAGTATGAAAGATCTTATCTTGCTYGTACATAGGAAATGTCCAAATGCAGTTTTCAAGGGATGAAGAAAGAAGAGGCTAAAAGCTGAAGAGGCCCCCACTTAATTGTGGCTCAAGAGGGCAACTACATGCTATTGAGTTATTTTCAAACGTTCAACAGCACGTTTGAACCTTTTGAGAATGGCTCTTTAGTCAAATTTTATATTTTATTGTTTTACTTTTTTGCTCGTCATTAATTTSTAGTTGTAATTGGAGATGATGGACCATTCCATCTCCTTGGGACACCAAATTCGTGTCTATATCGTCAAAAAGATGCACATGTGTTTAGTTAGTTCGAGTCAAAAATTTGAATATTTTTGTATTATAAAATTTTGAAGCTTAAATAATTTTTGGTGAATATTACAGTAGTTTCTCTTTTCTTGTTTCGTCTTTAAGATTTCCACTGCTATTGTATTTTATTAAATTTGTAATTTTTTCTTTTTATATAACATTGTTTAAAAGTATTCTATAATAATTAGTGCATAATATTTTCTCTAGTAACTTAATATTTCTTCTTTTATTTTTATTTTTTTTATTTTTTGTAAATGTAAAATCACGCGTTTAAATTTAATTTAAAAGTGCATCTGCCAATTGGACGATTTATATGTCAGGCTATTACTGTATCACTTGATTGTATGATTAATATAGTTTTCTTTTTGTTACAGGTGATCTTCGATGGATTTAACAACAAACCTTTTTGATTCTCCTCCTGTTTTTTATAATATATGTATAAATGCATTTCTGAAGGCACACATATAACTATGAAATATAACAATTAATATTTTTACACAGATTTACAAAAGATTTTAAATATGTTTGATTATGAAATATTCAATTTATTAACATAATTATTCAGGAAATTGTTATTTCTAATATATAAGACATAGAAATTATTTATGTAAGGATTTAAAAGTACGTTTTTTTTTTCATTGGTTGCCAGTACTAGTGTCAGTTGTCAATGAAGGACATTGGATCGATATCGATACGCAATAATATCAAATATCGTTCGTTGCTAGACGCATTGGTAACGGTGTCAAATTATAAAGTTCTCTCTCTCTCTTTCTCTTTTTCGTTTAGTTTGTAAGAGTATGTCGAATTGATTACAAAAAGCGAATCAAATAACAGTATTAAACAAGAATATTCTCTTTTATCATTCATTCATTCATATTCATTCATATTCATTCATTCATTTAATTATCAATTCCCAATAATGTGTAATTGTTAAATTTATAATACTTACTTCTTGTTAAATATATATATATATGTGCATTTGAAGATATTTGTACCTATATATATGTATATATATATATTTATATTTATATTTAAATGATAATAACTATTTGTTATAGATAAAAAAGATACACATAGATAATTTTAATTGACACTTTATAATCATTAGTAGAACCGATGGTATTTTTCTTCGATCATTCGATCGGTTATCGGAATATAATATATTACATATATATATGTTTATACGTAGATGATAATTACTATATAACACGTGGTATCAAATTATTATCGTCGACACTTCGAGACAGAGAGAGAGGAATAATCGTTCAAGCGGAAATTTCATCGATGTGGAATATATTGGAACGTGTAGGCTTTTAATCGGTTAAAGGTAGCCAACGATACATATATACACACATGCATATATACATATATATATATATATATATACTTTTTTGCTTTTTAATATCGAAAAATCGTTGAATAAACAGATATAGAATGAACAGGTTAGATAAATATGACGATAGTTAAGTAGGTAGTGTTAAAATATCAGACATGAGTGTGAACAAAACTAATGGGAAGAGAAAAAAGATTATTCAATGATAATGATCGATGAGGGGTTGCGATGAAGTTGAAATGAAATATGATGAAATGATATTTATCCTATTTTACGTTAGATGATGATAGAAAAAGAATAAACAGAAAAGAAAGGAAGGAAGGAAGGAAGGAAGGAAGGAAGAACACAAGCAACATAGTGATCGTTTTCTGGTATTTCGTTGAAGCAACAGCTAGCTAGGCTGGCTAGCTAGCAATGGTGTGGTGGTGGTGGTTTTATAGCGGTGTTCGTTGTGTAGTTCAACTTGGTGGTAGGGAGAGTGGGGTGGGTGGGCACGCTGAATTAGGGGTAGCATCAGAAAGAGAGAGAGAGAGAGAGAGAGAGTAGGAGGGAGAAAGACGAGAATAGAAGAGTCAACTGTGGTGGGGAGTTTTGAGAGAGAGCGAGAGAGAGTGAGTAGAAAGATGGTAGAGGAGAGAGGGAAGGAAAGAAAGAAGGGTGGAAGGGGACGAGAAAGGGACAGAGAATGTCTACAGTAGTAACGGCTGCGTATACGAGGTTTTAACTCACGGGGAAAAGTCCGAGAGAGAGGGTGAGAGAGAGTAAGCACGAGCTTGTGGTACTCCTCTCAGTCGCGTGTGACACGCGGCCTCAGCTGCCACGTTCGGAATCTGTCGGAGAGTTCTGTTCTTCTCTTCTTCTTCTTCTTCTTCTTCTTCTTCTTTCTGTCCCTTTCTTTTTTCGTCTAAAGGGCTAACACCATTTAAATAATACAAGTCCATATTTTCTTTCGTAGCCACGATTTTACGCCGACGTTTTTTAATAATATTCGCTACGACGACGACGACGAAAGAAAAAAGAAAATAAATACGGACGCGAGTGTTACGCGATAAATCGTGGTGTAAAAAAAAATAAAATAAAAAAGGAAAAAGTACGAGGAATTTATTTATTTATTTTTTTTTTTTTTGAAACAACAACCTAGTGGTGGCGGTGGTGGTGGTGGTGTTGGTGATAGTTTTATTGATGGTGGTGGTGGTGTTTTTATTTTTTTCTTAGTTTGAATTACGAAATTATTTGAGATCTACGATTTTTTTTTATTTTTTTTTTATTTTTTCCTAGAAAGTGAGAGAATAGAAATAGAAAGTAACTTTTGATGGGGAAAAAAGAAAAGGAATTTGTGTCGTTGTACCGTTAAAGTAATCGTTTACGAACGATCATTCTCGTTCGTAGATTCGTTCGTTCGTTCATTCGTTCGTTCGTTCGTTTCTTCTCGTCTTCTCTTTCTCTCTTACGAAGTTTTATAAAAAAAAAAAAAGTACTTCGTAAAGTTCGTAAAGAAAAGAAAAAGACACGTAAGAAGAAGAAGAAGAAGAAGAAAAAATATGATACAAATAAAAAACCCAAAAAGAAAGTTTTCGTTACAAGGAAGAAATTAGAATCTCGTAAAGAAGAAAAAAGAAACAAGTTTTTTCCTCGGACTTCGGAAAGAAGAAAAGTCGTGAAGGAGGAGAAGGAGGAAAAGGAAAAAGGCACCCCCCCCTCTATCCCTTCCCACGTTCTCCTAAAATCCGTTCGAATAGATTTTAATCGCGGACGAAGTGTTATCGAAGTTTCCACACCACTCTCCTTTACCTCTTTTACCCCCCCCCCTCTCCTTCTACCTTTCCACCTTGTCTCTCTCTCTCTCTCTCTCTCTTTTTATCTCTATCTTTATCTCTTTCTATCTTTAAACGGCTACTACTACACAAGAATGTTAGTGTGAGAAAGAAGAAATTCTCGTTGGTACACGAAGTTCTTCTTCTCCTTCTTCTTCTTCTTCTTCTATTCGTAGTGGAATCAAGTTTTCTCGCGGACAATGATATTCGTTATCGGACTTCGAAAGGAATAAGTTTTTCTTCAGGTAACAAAAAAAAAAAAAAAAAAAAAAAAAAGGAAGAAAAAAAACTGAAGTGGAGAGAAAGAGAAGAGAAAAAGAAAAGGAGAACGGGGCAAGGGAGGGGGTGCAGTTTGACGAATCGCGCGTGTTCAGGAAGAAAAATGTCATTAGAATCTTAACTGTGATTTTATTTTTTTCTCTTCCTTCCTTCTTTCCTTCCTTCCTTCATTTTTTTTTCCCCATTCATTTATTCATTCTTTTATTACGTCTCATAATTTTTTTTTTTTTTTAATCAATCACCTACCCCGTTATAATAATTAAAGGTTTTGTAATTTAGTTATATAATAATTATTATATAGAATTATAATAATACTAATAATCCCGTTATATTATTATAACCTTTTATAATTATTTAAAGGTTTTAACTTTGACTTATGTGGTTTTTTTTTTATTCTGGGGTGATGAGGGGTTTAGAAATTGTATAAATTTAATATTTTTATTGATATTTTGATTCGCGTAGTTATCGAAATAGATTTTGAATGACTTTGGTGATAAGGTGATAAAAGGAAACTATGAAAGTAAAATATGATTAAACGTAATTTCGAATGATGAGAGAAGAAAAGTTTGGTTATGTGATGAATCGTTTAGAATGAAGTTTAACGTGTTGGCGCCAAGTGTCGCGCGTTTAACCTTAACTTAAAGTGTTAAGAGTAATATATACCAAACTGACTGTGAAGAACAAGAACAAGAACAAGAAAAAGAATAAGAAGAAATAGAAGAAGAAAGTCTAGTTGAAACGTTGCAAGTATTTTTACTGCTACTTTTGGTAGTGGTAGTATTACTGAGTGCTGATACTGAAACTAGAAAACTCGTTATAGTAATTCCCTAGTTGAGTAAAACGAAAAAAGAAAAGAAAAAAAAAAAAAAGAAAAAAAAGGAAAAAAGTGTCCCCAGGTTCGATTACGTCGAAAACTTTGACTTAAATCGTGCAAGAAGCAAAATGACGTTACATCTTTATTAAATTATTCGTTATCATCAATCTTAATGTCATTCATTATTATAATTATTTCGTTCAGAATCTACGAACGAGTGGAAGAGAAACAAAGAGAAAATTAGAAAGTTTAAGAGAGAGAGAGAGAGAGAGACAGAGACAGAGAGGAAAGTTTGAAATCAATAAGAACGAGATAATATATCTTAACGATCATGCGAGATAAATTTGCATTTGGTGTAAGTAATCATCTATGACAATAATTTCATTTTCTTGTACCTTTATCCTATTCGTAGAATAATAATGAAAGATTTTTCAAGACGTTATGAGATAATTAGAATGACGCGTGATGTATGAAATGCTTAGAGAACGTGTAAAATAAGGAAGAAAGAAACTAATATCGTCTTTTGTAAGTGAGAAGAAGAAGAAGAAGAAGAAGAAGGTTTCCTATTAAAAAATTCATCGGAGATAGAAATAATTCAATCGTAGGGATCTTCATTTTAAACGTTACTTTATTTTTAGATTACTAACTTTTCGATCGATTTCATTTATTATTCGACAATATATATTTCCGAAAGATAGATATATCTTTTAACAATAATAATAATAATAATAATATTAATAATTAAGATATAAACGTGCGAATTGGTTTATTTTATTTGATTTTTATTTTTTACATTAATGTATGTTCAACAAAATAATTTCCGAAATCTAGATATACCTTTTAATAATAATTAAGATATAAACATAGGAATTGATTTATTTTTTACGTTGAATGTGTGTTGAACACAAAATGATTTTTATTTATGGTAATACAAATGTATTATATTACATATAGAAAGGTTATGAGAATGAGATGTTCTCGTTCGATGAACTCACATGCCCTTTTTAGACGGCGATCGTTAAACGACACGTCCCTTCCCTCTCTTCTCAATGAAAGACTAATTCTTGCTCTTTTAAGAAAGGGCATTAAAATGGAGAAAAAAAAGATTCTTTTTTTTTGTTTTTTTTTTGTTTGCTTTACCAGAATGAATAATTTTGTTCCAAGGAAGGTTGGCTAATTTTGGAGATAACCCCCCAAGATTCGGATAGTAGCATAAATCGTGACGTGACCTGACGTTGCCAAAATTACTATACAAGTTTGTTGACTCCCCGTTAAGATTGTCAATCTATTTTTATTCGATTTAAAAATAAACAAAAAAAATCACACACACATCATTTATTTTTGTCACATTTTCAATGAGAAAATCTAACGAAGTATAATTATATTTGTCAAAATAAAAGTTGACACAAATAATATATTATATAAATATTTTTTTTATATTTATTATTTAATTATATAATTTATTATAATATATGTGTATATATATAGATAATTATTATAGTTAATTAATTCAAGAAATAAATTAGGTTCGTATTGAGTATACTTTAAATAAGTCAAAAATAAGGAAACGTATTTAAATGTCAAAGTTTTGAACGATGATTTACATACAACTACTATATATATATATATATATATATTAGAAACTTGCAATATATGTTAGTAGAAGTGTCGTTTGTCTAACACCGTAAAACATAAATTTTCAGTCGGGCGTACCGGACATGCACGAGACTCTATCTAACTTTCCGGAACAGTTTGGCGATGGACCGAGAAAACCGGAAATAAAGGCGGAAATGTTAAAGGAATCGGACAAAACAACGGATAACAACTTAAAGTGCGGATGGTTTTGGTTCAGGCCAATTTATTTGCAAAAATTTCGTACAGCTAAATGGGCATTATTTTGGTTGTGTTGGGCAGGTGCTATGCAAGGTTAGTATTTAAACCGATCATCTTTATCATCATTTTGATTCGTTCAAATTTATTTGATACATTTTTTTTTTTTCTTGCGTATTACATTAATAATCAAATCATTATGATGATAAATATAGAACAAAAAAAAGTTGAGAAATTTAAAAGTTGTATCGAAGTTATATCAAAGTTAGACGATTGTTCTAAAATTGGGGAAAGAGGGGTAGGTTGAAGGTAGGGGGTTAATAATTTGTTATTTTACATTAACATATTATACATCAAATAATTTCTATCGACATGTATATTATTCGTCATTGACGAATATCGGTTGAACGAGACGACGAGACGAAACCAAATACTACTATTGGTGGTGGTTATGATGGTTGTGGTGGTAGTGGTAGTGGTGGTGGTCGTTTTACTCGTTTGCCGGAGAGGTCGACGTTTGCTGCCACTAATAGCCGCGCATTCGAATGCAATTTCGGTGCTTTCGCGTAGGGCTTTTCGAATAGAAAGCGAGATGAACGAACCTAGGAGGAGGAATGAAGAAGGGTGAGTGACGATAACCGGAAATCGAGTTTTCCGCCAGGATAGCAGCAAGGTGTTGATGATGGTAGTGTTCGTGAAGGTGATGGTAGTGGTGGGTGATGAGAAGAAACTTTTCGACTAAAGGAAACTGCGTGTTATAGAAATTATATTCAAGTGGAGTAAGGTGGGGGTAGGGTGGAAAAATCCTAAAAGATGAAAGATTGTGAGTGCTTCGAAAAATAAATAAAAGGACAATAAAAGAAGGGAAGGAAGGGAAGGGAGTGAATAAGCATGAAGTACTTTAGTTTAAATAAATTTGTTCGGCGACCCTTTTAAAAAAGTTCTTCGTAATGCGACAAAAGAAATCGTTCTCGAGATTCCTGTCTTCTCTCTCTCTCTCTCTTTCTTTCTTTCTCTCTCTCTCTCTTCGACGATAGAATTGAACAAATTGTTGGACAATAGGACTCGGGCGAAGTCCCTTGAACGACGTAGGACCGCGATAAGAGAGAGAGAGACGATTTTATTTATATACATATACACATATACATACATATATACATATATATATGCACCATGTATACCGTAAGTTCGTAGGTGTGCACGTATTTGTTAAACTCGATGCACGAGATCGAATGCATAACATATGTATATAAATACCTACATACGTTCATACACACACATATATACACATATATATAGGTATACAAATGCGTTTGATCCGTGAACCCATCGTAGAAACAAATCGTCGAAAGTACAAACGCGTATGCAGAAGGGAGAAATCAAAAGAGAGAGAAAGAGAAAGAGAGAGAGAGAGAGAGAGAGTAAACCATTGGAGAGCGTCGCGTCGGCTTTAATTAAAATTCTCTATTAGCGGGTACAATGGTATACGAAGGTGGTTAATTTTCCGGATAGCCGACCCGTACCGGATACAACGGTACTTAAGTCAGATTCTTGATGTTAGTTAGTTACGATTTAACGCGTTAATTATCGATGAGCACCCTGAGAAATTACTGCGGTGAAAGGGAAATAAAGGGGGAAGGTGAAGGGGTAGTAGTAAAGTTTGAAGAAATTATTTCTAAAAGGAATATATATATATATATATAGTGGCCAAATTTTCATTTTCACTTGCACCTGCCATTTATATATAAATCCAATTTTGTTTTTATACAGAAACTTTTTTATTACACATTAAAAAAAAAAAAATCTACAAAGTGTTCGCATATTGTTTTAATTTTTATTTAACTAACAATGAGAATAAGAAAAAAGAAAAAATTGTTAACCATCTGAAAAGTCAATTTTTGTCAAGTTATTAAAGTTCCCGATGTTATTTTATTTTATTTTATTTTATTTTATTTCTCACGCTCATGGGATTTGAAAATTGTCATTGGATTTTCTATTTGAAATACGATTGGATGGAAAAGACCGACACCCCCCAC